CCTCCATTTCTTTTTCTTTTTTAAAGATTATTCTTACCTTAGAAAAAAATAGATAAAAAAATTAATGAAAATGCGAAAAATAACTAAAACAATACAAACTTAATCAAATAAATAATGTAATCAATAGAAATTAAACAGAAACTGGTAAGAAACATAATAAATATATACGGAGTGGTGGGTTTTAACATTTTACACACTATACGAGGTCTTAATATACTACTTATTTTTTAAAAGAACAAGCCGTCCGGTAAAATTGGAATTATTGTAGATAATTTTTTCTAAAAAATAAGTAGTGATATGTTAATACTTTGTATAATACGTAAAATATTAAAACTCACCCGTATATTTTTATTTTACTTTTACCAATTTCAAGTTAGTTTCCATTGATTACCTTATTTATTTTATTATTTTTGTATCATTTTAGTTACATTTCTCATTTTTTCATTTTTTATATCTATTATTTTTATTTTTTAAACTAAGACTAATCTTTAAAAAAGAAAAAGAAATGATGATGGAGGTAGAAAGTAATTCAAAAAATTTAAATAAAAAATTTCAAAAAAAAAATTAAAAAACAAAAATTCATCAAAAATAATCCCAACTTTCATTTTGTTGCCCAAAATGGGCATTTCCGTTAACCCTCCGTTAGACACTTAACGGCGACCCAAAATTGACAAATTTCAGTAAAGTTGGGATTATTATGCATCACAGTGAAAGGTGGGATTATTTTTGAAAAACCGGGTAAAGTTGGGATTATTTTGGGTAATTTTTCCTAAAAAATAATATGTTGTCAAATAATATATGGAGTCATATTTTTACCAAAACAAATTGTTCCGAAAGTGGAATCAGCCACATACTTGAAACACACTAGAAAGAAATTTATTTACACGATAGAAGTTGTCTGATCCTGATGTTCATTACTAAAAAAATACTATAAGCAAGATTATTATTATTATTATTATTATTATTATTATTATTATTATTACTATTATTCTTATTATTATTTTTGCAACATTAAAAGAAGTAAAATGGGCACATTTTTTTATGGGAGATGGAGTAATCGTTGGAATATCTAAACACGTTATACTATACTCTATATTATGATGAGGCAAAAAGATAATAACCCTTGGCCCTAGCCACACACACACACACACATATATTATTCTTACATTAATCCAATCCAGAATACAGACCATCTGCCCATATAGATGAAAGCGAGCTCAAATACAGACCACCCACCCATATAGATGAAAGCAAGCTCAAATACAGACCGACCCGCCCATACAGATGAAAAGCGAGCCGAAATACAAAGGAAGAACGCCCACTATTGTGAGACAATAATACAACAGATGGAACAACAATAGAACCCCTCATATGCCAAGCATATAGTTCAGAGGGTTGACAGGCTGATTTACAGGAAAGGGGGGGGGGGGGGGAGGG